TGGGGTTAATGGAATGCATGAATCGCCTGATTGTAAAATTAAGCTTGTAATTGTGCAACTGAAAATTTGGTATGCTATTTGTGAGTTTATTAATGCAGACGCCTTTAGGTAGTTTTTATGGTAGCCAATGTTGATCAAAATATCAGAAAAAGAAATCCTGTACTTCGTGTCTTTAGGAGCTATATAGTTATGCGTTCGTATAGGTGACTTTAAATCCTCTATGGCATTTTTTGTTTTCTGGGTGTTACAGGAGAGCTGTCCTGGTAAGACAAGGTGAGAACAAAGAGGATGAACCAACTGATATTACACCAAAAGATTTTGCGGTGAGAACTGTAGCACAAGAATATGGTGGTGGGGCTTTTAGCATTCTAGGAGATTATGTTGTCTTCTCCAATTACAAGGATCAAATACTCTATAAACAGTCGATTTCAACTAAAGGTCAATTTCTCTCTCTCTCTCTCTCTGTGTGTGTGTGTGTGTGTGTGTGTGTGTGTGTCTATCTCCGTTCTTCGCCATTAATATTGCAAACATTCATCTGATTTTTAGACATAGTGCAAATTTTCAATTCAATTTGTCCAACAAGTTCTTATAAATCTGCTATCGAATTAAAACTGCTTTTCCCTTGAAATGACAAATAGACTAATACACAAGATTTTTTAACTTTGATGTAGATTCTTGTATCTGAAGTGACTGGTCTTTCAAACCTTATCTTTTCAACTTCTGAGAAACCAAATTGTTATAGCAGACTCGGTTCCTGTGCCCATGACTCCCAATTATAGTGGGGCTCACGTGTGCTATGCTGATGGAGTATTTGATTCACGATTTAATCGCTACCTGACAGTAAGAGAAGGTATATTATAATTTCTGTCTGCATTACAAAATATATAAGTGAAAAAGTTCGTGTTATCTTTTCATGTTCTTCTTAAATTCTCCTTTTCTCTGATAGATCACCGTGAAAGCAGTACAAATCCTACCACAACAATTGTTTCAATTGACCTTAGCGATGACCATGTAAAAGGTAAGACTAGGATTTGTTCTTTTTGCCTGGGTTATTAGTATTTCTTCCTAATGTTGGACTTGTGCCACCCACCTTACTCATGCTGTATTTTGTTAGGAAAAAAGCTAGGAGTGAGTCGGTTCTACTTCTTTACCTTTTCTCTTTCCCTTTTCTAACAAGTAATTTAACCCCCGAGTGCAGAACCAAAAATATTAGTTGGAGGAAATGACTTCTATGCTTTTCCTCGGATTGACTGCAAAGGAGAACGAGTGGCATGGATTGAATGGGGTCATCCCAACATGCCATGGGACAGATCTCAACTATGGGTTGGATACTTATCCCATAATGGGTAGGTAGTGGAAAACTTTTCCAGTTTCGCTCTGTGTGGAATTTATACCTGAATGCTTCAAATAGCATAGATTGAAAAAAGATAGTTTTTGCGAGCATAACCCATATGAAGACAGAAGCGTCAGTCATGGTTCTAGATGTACTTGTAGTTTGGAAAACATTATGTGGACTAATAAATATTTTATTAGATCTTATCAATAGAAATGAAAGGTTAGCTATACATGCCATATTGTGCAGTATTGGTGTATATGTTACATCACATTCTATGAGGTCCTTCTAACAGTTGTGTTTGTTGCCTTATTACTTTTCTTGGGGCACTTTGGCCAGTTTAATATATAAATATCCAATGGATCCTAACTTATTTTCTTGTGAACTTTGCAGCGACATAATAGACAGGATTTGTGTAGCTGGAGGTAATCCATCAGTCGTGGAATCACCAACTGAACCTAAGTGGTCACCCGAAGGTAATCTTGCATACTCTAATTTTTCAATTCATAGTTTGTGAATATTCTGGTTGAAGAACAGTATTTTTTTCTCCGTGTTTCCAGTTGAAAGTAAGGTTCACGATTTAAGTTGTGTGATATGATCACAATGTAAATGCAGTTTACTGCAACTAGTGATAGTTTTCAGAGATGCTTGTTTTATAGATCGTATCTGCAATTCCTTCCTTGATTACTAGAATCCTTAGCAATAACTTCAAATTTGGCTAATTTAACAGCAATCACGTATCAATGGTAACAGGTGCATTTTGGTGCGAGAATTTAATAGCAAACGTACCATGCCAAACAAAGCTTTGTTTAATTTGGAAGTCTGTGTATGCCATCTAAATTATTATAGTCTTATAAATGGTTTCTTCCTTCTGCAGCTACGTTTCTCCTATCGAACATCATTGTTTGTTTTCTTGTCTATTTATCTGTGGGTTAAAGATCGATCTATTCCTGATTCTATATTTCGTAGGTTATTTGAACATTTTATTAAAGTACACAATTAGGATTACCCATTATTCTTAGTTATCGTTTGTGGAATAGATTTTCAGATTCTAAGCTCGGGTGGGAGTTTTCCCCTGGAGAAGCCTGGTTCTTAGGATTGGACTAGATTATCTTGGGAAACTTAATATATATTTTATTTCTTTGCGGTTGAAATTTCTTATTTGTCTGTCACCAAACCCTTGAGTTGGAAAATATGAAGAAATAAAAATATATCTAATGCAGAAAGTAAAGGAAAAACTTAAGGTTGTCCAAGAACAAATTACATGTGCAATCCTCCTTTTTCATATTATCTATATGTATGTATCTAATATATATCTATCTATATATATATATATCCTTTGGTGATTGGTAGCTACCTGTTATGTGAAGTTCTTAGAACATAGTTTTCTTGTTTTGATATTTCAGGGGAACTTTTCTTCGTCACTGACAGAAACAGTGGGTTTTGGAATATCTACAGATGGGTATATATTCATCTTATTATTTCAGTTTAATTTATTAGCTTCCCTTCTGCTTCCAGTTTTCAACACCTCAAGATTTAATGTACGGTCATGTACCCAATAATATCTGCAAGAGGATCTGTGATATTTGCCACTTGAGGGAGGAGACTTTGCACTAGCTTAACTCTAAGTTGTACACACAGGGAAAAAAAGGGCATTTATGTGGTCTCCAGATAGTTGATTTAGAAAATATCAGAGGCTTGTATCAGGTCAAGGAAACTTTTGGTGGTTGTGGTTATGCAGACTGCAGACGATTGAGAATAAAGTTGTTCGTGTTAGAAAACTGTTCTTTGTGAAATGTTGGACTTGGCCAAACAGGATGAGTCATAGTGTTTACATGGTAGAGAGTAGTGGAATTATTTGGAAAGAATTGTAGGTAAAGGGAAACTAAGGAGTATTGGGAGAGAGAAGAAAATAAGAATCTTATCCCCAGAATCACTTAATATTGTTTTTTATAAGAACTATTCTATAGTCAGTGAATGACTTCATCACTAGTTAGGCTTGTGTTTCTAGAACAATGGATGTATATGAATTGTGAAACCACTGGCATGTTTAAGGCGGTACTATTTGGTATTTTTGGTTTATGTAAAATTACAAAAATTGTCGAAAATCTGAATACGAATCGTGTACTACTGTTAATATTAAAAGGAAAAAGTATTGTTGAAATATTAAAAGAGATGTTTTGAAGAACAGAATTGAACTTAAAGGAGAGGCCTGAATTGTAGTCGTTCTAATCCTTTTGATTAGGTTTGGGGCTTCTTAGGTTATTTTATGATTATTGTGGCTGCAGAACACTTTATTATTCCCCAATCACATTCTTCCACTTTTGTTATACAAAATGGAAAGGAATTGTGTTTTATGATCATTACTAGTTAAGCTTCATAAGAGCTAGTGGTACTACCTCTGGCTTTGATGACAGTCTCCTCTTCTCCTGAGAGTTCAATGATTTAATTTGTGACACCTGTCTTGTGAAGGTTTATATAATGTCACCTTGGTGTAGTCTTCTTTCAATTGGATTGCCATATTGTCACCCTTAACCTAAACCTCTTTTACCAGTTTTGTCGTTTATTAGTTTATTAGCACACACCAACGCCTGCTCGGCTGCTCCAAGGATTCAGTTTCTTGATCTCACATTTCTCTTGTTTTCTTAGGTGGAGTCCAAGAATGAAATACTACCTGTTTACACTCTGAATGCTGAGTTCACGAAACCGTTATGGGTTTTTGGCTTAAACTCATATGACTTTGTTTATAGTCCTGGCCAGAGGAACTTAATTGCTTGTGGCTACAGGTGATCCAAAGAAATAATTGCTAATGCATTTTCCTTGGAGTGTTATCCATTAATATGCTGCTCAGTATCCTTGTGACCGCTTGATCAAACTTCATTTTGTCCTTCATCACCTTCTGTGTGAGAATTTATTACAGTGATTGAAAATATCTGCAGGATGAAAGGAAGGTCATATCTTTGTATTGTGGATGTTAAGCAGAGCAAGATTATGCCGCTTGATATTCCTCTCACAGATATAAACAATATTGTAATTATCTTTCAAACGATTATGAATTATTAAATCCTTCTTTTCCTACAAGAATGAATTAGCTGAATAAAAACATTGATTTAAGATAGCATAATTTATGCAGATATCTGGCGCAGGCTGCCTGTATGTTGAAGGAGCATCTGCTGTTCGTCCCTTGTCAATAGCTAAGGTGCTTATAAACTCACTAGTCTTAAATTGAAACATGTTGTGCTTGTTCATTTGAACTCTTGAAATTTGAAGGTGGTAATTTGTATAGCTTTTGCATCTGTTATTTGATGTCCCCTAGGATTGTTTTTTCACTTGATTTGATTGATCCCTCAGCATCTAATTCATTGTTTTCGCAGGTAATTTTAGATGATCAAAATTCTAAAGTAGTTGATTTTAGAATCATGTGGTCGTCATCTTGTATAAGTGAATCATACGGACCATACATAAGCCAACCCGAATTGATTGAGTTCCCTACAGAGGTCCCTGGAGAAAATGCGTATGCTTATTTTTATCCCCCAACTAATCCTCTGTTTCAATCAAGTCACGAGGAGAAACCTCCACTGCTGTTAAAGAGTCACGGTAATATCATGCTCTTTTCGTTCATCCAGGTTCATAGTGTTTCTTATTCAAACCACTGAGACATGAATCACATCTTTTTCTGCATTATTAGAGTACCTTGATTTATTCAACTCCAGTGTTTGCACTATGTTTGCTTGCTTCATTCTTTCAGAATTGTAAAGTAGGGGAGAGATGCTTTACATTTCTGAGTTTGCATCTAGTTTGATCCCATGAATAAAAATCACTTTTCAACTTGTCCAATTAGTACTTTCTCTTCACTTAACTGATTTCTAACCTATGCGTGAAAATATCAATTTGTGATTCTTTAACGACTTTCAATTCCATTGCATCAGTATGACTTCTATCAAAAGCAGAAGTTATAGCGAACACACCCTATAGCTGGTTAGTTGTGATTTTTCATAGTACATACATGCATGTGTGTGCTAGCCCTTGTGAACACGAAGGACTCTCATACAAGAGGATGCAAATAAAGCGTCACTCATATAAATGACAGGAGCGGGTTAACATACGTGGTGCATTGCCCAGTATCATTATAAAAAATCCACCATGTATTCTTGAGTTATTCTTTTTTTTTTTTGCAAATCTCGAGTTATTCTTTTGTTCTTCTTGGAAACTTATTCAACTTCGTACCAATTACAAAGGAGGGCCTACTGCTGAGACTCGGGGCATTTTGAACCTGAGCATCCAATATTGGACCAGTCGTGGATGGGCTGTGGTGGATGTTAATTATGGTGGAAGTACTGGTATTATATCTGTTATTTGACACATTTCTGTTCTGACACTATCTTTCTCTGTTTCTACCCAGTATCTTTGGATGCTCATTTCTGAGTCTGCTTCTTAAGGTTATGGTCGAGAATACCGAGATAGACTGCTCGGGCGCTGGGGTATTGTTGATGTCAATGACTGCTGCAGCTGTGCCAAGTTCTTGGTAACATTATTTTCAGTTTTTCTATTACTGTGTACAAGTACAACTGGAATTACAAGTAAATAGGCACCAACCCAATAGCTCCCTTTTGGTTTAACCTAAATACCAAAAAAGAAAAAAAAAAAAAAAGAAAGAGGAAAGAAATTCAATTATGTTAAAAAATTACAAATAACCCCTAAGTAATTACAAACACACCCTCGTGTTTCTGGACACACACACACACATATGTGTGTGTATTTTTAGTAACAAATATGTTTCTTAAGGTTGATAGTGGAAAAGTTGATGGTCAAAGATTATGCATCACTGGGGGTTCTGCGGGTGGATACACAACCCTTGCTGCTCTTGCTTTCAGGAACATATTCAAAGCTGGTGCATCCTTGTATGGGGTGAGTGCTATTTTATCCAATAGTAACCATCAATTGGATTTTTAATCTTTTGTCTTTTAATTTTATTGTGACAATTGATTATGTCAGTAGTCAGTAGATGTCATTCTTCAGCCTTAATAAACAATTCAACATCTGTGATTCAAATAAACCTGTCTTCACATGGCACACTCTGCACCAGCCAATGTCTTAACGACTGTTTTGTTGTAATGGCTGATCCTAAAATAAAATAGAAACTAGAAAGTGCAATATGATTTATGCATCATTTTTCTCACTGTATTTTCTCGATTTTTTATGCTTCTTGTTCTAACATGTTTGAAAAATCTTGTGAAAACCTAATTAAGTGGGATGTTTGATGTTTCTTTTATATCCTTCTAAAGACTGGAACCTTTGTAAATTGCGCCCTGTAACAGCATATGCCATTACCATATACAGAGTTTTGTTCGGTTCACTATACCTTCAGATAATACTTACCGAATTAGAAGGAGCGATAACCACACCCCCCCCCCNNNNCAAACCCTTGTTTGAGCAAAGCACGTGCCTTCAGTTGTCACTAAGTTTCTTTAGGTAGATATTATGTAATGCTAATTAATTTTCAGTACGAAACAATCCTTTTTGGTATACAAACAGGTGGCCGACTTAAAATCATTGGTATCCGATACTCACAAGTTTGAATCTCACTACATTGGTAATCTTGTAGGTAAAGAACTGAACCACAACCCAATATATGTATATTTATTGTTCGTCATTTTTACTGAATCTCCTTTTAAAATTGGCTTGCGAATTTACAGGAGATGAGAATGCTTTCTTTGAGAGATCACCTATCAACTTTGTGGACAAGTTTTCCTGCCCCATAATACTATTTCAAGGATTAGAGGACAAGGTATGCGTGTAATCGACTTTTTAGGTTTGTCAATGACTGTGTGTTTGTTCTTTTCTATTTTCTTCTATTTGTAATTTAAAGTTTTCGTCTTCAGCTAACATAAGGAAATTTATAGAAACTACTCATGAGAATTTAGCCTAATTACCGGATAAATGGAACCATTTACTTTTCAAAACTATGAGGTATTTGTTTGAAGAACACCCTTCTTAATGGTATACATTTCAATATATTAAAAACTCAAGATGTATGCGTACTTTTAAGTTAGAGTTTATTACATTATGTTACTGTTAGTTAGTCTTGTGAAACTTTGCTATTCTGAAATCATAATTAAGATCCAATTGATGAATTACGAATTTTGTAATTTCTCAATTGTTTAAAGCTCTAAGTTGATACACAAAATCATATAAGATAATCCAGTTTGACTTGAATCAATAAAAATGCTAGCAATAAAAAAGTAGTAATTTTATAGTATGTATATATTGGTATTTCATACTTCTCTGAGCAAAGTTTTAGATTTTTATTGTTTTCCTTGTTGCATTATCTTGTATAAAAAATTGAGCAATATTTTTATTTGTTTCTTCTTCTATTCGCACATAAGATTTTGTTTGTTGAAATTATTGTAGTGTGTTATATGTTTGAAATTATCTCAGACCTTCCTTTAGAAGTTATCTTTATATCTTTAGACGTTAGCTGAATCTATTAATTTTTAAACTACAAGTAATATAAATTAAATAAGACAAAATACAATTAAATATTATTTATATTTATTTATATATGTATTTAGTCATATTATGTATTTTTTGTTATTTTTTAAACTTAAAAGGTTTAAAAATTTTCGATTATAATATTTGATTAATAGTGAAGCAACTTGCCCATTTTTATATCTGCAAAACATATGTGATGCTATTATAGTTTTTCTTTTCAATAAGGATAATAGTTCTAACATGTAACTCATTTGTTTCTCCTTTAAATGCCACATTCGTGTTGAAAATAGTTATACAATTACAATCATTTTGTATTTTTTTTTTAAAAAATATGTAAGACAAATATACCACAAATGTACCTTATGTTATTTTATTCTCAGTCAAGTTTATTTGACATTCATTTATAATTTATTTTATTAAATCATATTAGATCCTTTTATTAAATTGAAATAAAATGATAAATGCATGTATTTAATTTTATATCGACGTAAACAACTATATTAGTTTGCTTTATGTTTGTAATGCGAATGTCAAATCAAACATTATTGCAAATGATTGAATTTGATATATTATATATAAAGAGGATCATAAATAAAATAATTTTTAGGTATAAACAATATAAACAATACATGATATTCATATCAAAAATAAGAAAGGTAAAGGATGTAAAGTAATATAAATAATTCAAGAATAATAAAATTAAAAATTAAATTTAAAACTATAATTTAAAAAGAAATAAAATGAATAAAAAATAATCCTTTTAAATTGTAACAGTTCTAATTAAGAATAATGTATATTACAAGCAAGTTTAATATTTCTCATTATTAAACTCCAGTATGATTTAGTTTTATATGATATTTTTTTTTGGATCAATCGTGTGACTGAATTAGGGTACTGTCTATATTGACTGAATTACTTTTAGGTGATATTTGAAATAGTAAAAAAAGTGACACAACTTGGATGGTCCCATGTGACAAATTATGTATCAGTTTGACCATACCAAATCGATTATTGAACCTAAATATAAATTTTAATATTGAAAATACTTTATTACGTGAATGTGATGTAGTCCAACTGTCCAAACTTCAAATAATCATATTAATAATACTTTTATTACAACATGTTTAATGATTAACTAGTGTGTATCCCCTGCGATGCACGGAAACAATATTAAATCAACAATATTATAAATAGACCTCGAGTTTGAGTCACTCAATAGAAGAAGTGGAAACTAATATTGATCATATTTAAAAAGAGGAAGAGAAAAAATAATTATAAATTAAAGAGGAGGATAAACAATACTTAATAATTATTAATTAAAGATTCGGGGTTAAACAATGTAAAATTATTTTGTAAAAGAGAATATAAAATTTTCATTATTTTGTATAAGAGAATATAAAATTTGGATGTTTAATATTAAAACACTTAAATTATTATATTAGTATATGTAAAATTATTCATAATTTTCTATATTATTTTTGAAAGATGTGAAGTCACTTACAACTTTCTTCAACAATTTTAGAAGGAAACATATCTAAAAACATTTGAATTTAACATTGTGTAAAAAAGATTTTTCTAGACTATTTTGTAAAGAAAACGTGTCTACAAATATTTAAATTTAACATCAATTATGTATATGTGTGTAAAAAAATATCTAAACAATTCTGTTTAAAGTATCTAAAATATTATAGCCTAATTTAATAAAGACATTCAGATGATACCGAATATATGGCGTTGCTTGCATCTAACAAAATTTGATTACACACAATCTCAAAATTATTATTATACTTTTTACGTTGTTATGGATGATGTATTGTTAATTTATAATATCTGTAAAAATATTAGTTATTGACCAATGAAAATTAGCAGCGCCCGAGATGGGTCGTATTTTATATTTTTAAATCTGTATAGATAAGAGATGAGATTTTTTAAAACTGGAGATGAGATTTTGTAACAGATGAAAGATAAACTCGTGTAAATTTATGTTATGGATAAACTTTGTATAGATTGGAATTAGAAAAAATTTAAAAGAGAGTCGTCTTCTCCGATGGAATATTTTTGGGAATGTGCGCGATTTTTTGGGCACAGATAATGTATTATTAAATAATTATGTTTGTTAGAAATAAAGTGGCTCGAGGTTGTAAAAAATTATAGTGTCATGGTATTTATTAATAATTAAAAAATAAAAGTTAGTTATATTACAAATTTTGCCATTAAAAAATATGACCAAGTAAGGATCTTTTAGCTTGTTAATATTTTTAAAAGATCGATTTCAAATGCACGGATTAGAAGGAAAACACATCTAAAAATATTTGAATTTAGTGTAAAAAAGATTTTTCTAGACTAATTTGTAAAGAAAACATGTTTACAAATATTTAAATTTAACATTATTTATGTATATATATATATATGTGTGTGTGTGTGTGTGTATATGTAAATATAGACGAATATGTAAAAAAATGTCTAAACAATTTGTTTAAAGTATCTGAAATATTATAAGCTTAATTTAATAAAGACATTCAGATGATACCGAATTTATGTCGTTACTTCCATCAAACAAAATTTGATTACACACAATTTCAAAATTTTATTATATTTTTACGTTGTTATCGAGGATGTATTGTTAGTTTATAATATTTGTAAAAATATTAGTAATTAGACCGATGAAAAATTAGCAGTGCCGAGATGAGTCGTATTTTTTTTTTTTTTTTTAAAATCTGTATAGATAAGGGATGAGATTTTGTAAATAGTTCCCGGCGGTTTTGATTACCAAAGAAACAGGAGAAAGTAAAACAAATATCTACACATTAAATCAGATTTATTGTTTCGAAATTTCTGCCTAAAAAGAGTTTAAATGAAAAGGGAGACAAATCAACACAATATCTATTATTTTGTTAACCTAAAAAATAGGAAAAACGGAAACAAATCAACACAAAAAGCATCGCCGGCTTTTTTTGTTATCAATATGTAGTATATATTTAATGTTTTTGGCGGGAAAAACTTTCTAAATTTGTAAAAAGGTTATTCTTTTTATATAATGATAGATGCATGTTTATTTATCATTTTATTAATATTTATGTGAATGAAATAATATTTTATTATGATTTTTATTAATGTACAGTGAATATGGTTTTCAGAATTGAACCGTCATCAAAACGATTTAGGTATTCTATTAAATTTGTTCATATTTTTTATAAACATTTTAATATATATAGAAAATACTCTTTGTAACAAATTTAAATATAATGTGTTATTTAAATATCTAAGGGGGTGATTGGATATGAATTCAACTTGTAAAAAATTAGTTTTTTTGTAAAAAAAGTAGTAAGGTTAGTAGTTAGTGGATATATTAAAATAATATTTAAATTAAAATAATTAAAGTTTGTTTGATGTAAAAGTAGGAGGAAATGATTGGAAGTGATGGTTAGTTAAAATTATGTGAGTGGAATAATAGTGAATTAAAGTTGATGTGTTGTGTAATAATGATTGGTTGATATTATTTAATTATATTGAAATATTGAAGATAGTGAAGTTAAATTTGAGTTTTGATTGAGATTTTTACTGTAGAATATGTAAACAATCACGCCCTAAATAGTTTATAAATTCAAATGTTCAAACTAATTGATAAACAATTTATAAATCTCTATTTTATTTAAGTTTTAATTTTATATAAAATTATTTTAAATGTAACAAAATTTATTTAAAAAATCGTATCGATTCTACCGGTCCAACCGACTGGTGTTGAAGGATTCGATAGCAAATATTTTATTCAAGCGAACTAGATTGGTTATAAAACGGTTCTCGGTCCACCCGGTCTAATTTAAAAACAATGGGTAAATCATGATAAATTTATTTATATATTTAATTTACAATACAACCGTAATATTATTTTCCCGTGCATCTCACGAGCCACGCACTAGTTTTATTTAATTGTTACTATTGTTATAGAGTTGATTGATTGAAAATTTGTTTAGTTGATATATTCGATATGATTTCTTTCATTATATTTATTTTATTATAAATATGAGAAATAGTTAAAATTTGTCCATTGCAAATGGAGTTGGAAGAGTCATTGTTGACAATTGACAATTCTCCTGGCATAGTGCTACTAGATCAAAATGACTCAATTAAATTCTAGTGCTTCTTCTATTAGTGAAGTTTCTAGGAAAAAAATATATCAAACGACGCAATGCACCTTGGGTCGCTACGGAAACAGCCTCCTTGTATAATTACAAGGGTAAGGTCTGCGTACAACAGACCCTCCAGACCCAACCAGTTGGGAATATACTGGGTATGTTGTTGTTGTTGTATGAGAAATAGTTAAAAATAGCCACATATGTTAGGGTATCAATAATAATTTGGTCAAAATGCATTTTTACTATATTGTACTACTTTTACTATTTTTGCACACAAACCAAAATTTTAGGTATGAACGACTATTCAAATCGAAACTGTAAACTTATCTCCATAACTAGTCATTCCTTTACTACCTTATAGGTTTAAAAAAGGTCACTAGCCCTTTAATCACGTGCATTTAAAAAACATTTTTATTAGGTTTCAACATCACTTTTATAGTTGTTTCTTTTACATAATATATGGTTTGCAAATTGTTGCAACTTTTTAGCCCCTAAAAATTTAAGCGTTGTTCCTCATACTATCTTTCACTCTTGTTCGGATTTACGATATTTATGTTCCTAACAACTTATCTTAATATTTGATTTCAATATTTAGCCTTTTGTATCATACATAATGTTACTAAGTTTGCAACAAAGTTAGGAATCAAATATTACTTGTGTGGTTTATTTTTATTTTTTCCCCTCCTTATTACGTTATGTGTAAATATACAGTTCAACATGGTTGTGGTTTATTTTTATTTTTTTCCCCTCTTATTACGTTATGTGTAAATATACAGTTAAACATGGTTAGTGTCTTTACTTTTGAAAAAAAATAAAATATGGTTAGTCTTTTTTTGAAGACATGATTTTCTTATACATTAGATTACACAACTATTATTAATTTAGAAGAATCCTATATAACATTGGGTTTTTAATTATGATTACAATTTTGCCATTAAAAATATATCAAACATAAGGTAATCCGTTAATTTTTTTACAAAAATAACTCCTCATTTTACAATAATATAGATGAGGGTTACTTGAAATTGAAAACTTCATTTGAGTACTCTTTTTTTTTTT